TAAATGTATAAAGATACATTTTCATAGTAAAAATACCAGCAACACATTTTGGTAAATTAAATTAATAATGTACACAAGAAAATTAAATTTCAGCATTAAATGACCAATAAGTAGTTGATATGTCGCTAACCAAACATACCCAAACCCCTATTTTGACCCGATGAATCGTTAAAGGAATTTTGGATATCTTGAAATTGTTGGAACCACTGTCCACAGAACGAGCTACTGAAAGGAAAACAGTTCAATGTTTGAAGATGGTAAAATTCGCTGTATTTGGAAGAACTCCCTAATCTGGACACATGATCGCTTATTGCGCCTTATTTGTAACATTTGGCAGCAAAATAACCATTACCCAGAACACCTTTACCCAGAAAAAATTGTTTTTCTCTCTTTCAATACACCATTCTAAAGAGTGAAGTATATTAGCATTTATTGTAGTGTTTTGTAATACCATATACACCATTTGGTTTGTTTATGTTGAGATGTTGAAGATTGTCTTGGCTATAGCCAGGATTTCCTTCGTTTACGACTTCTTGTAATAAACTTATTTTTCATAACCAGTCTATTTTTAGGAGCAAAAAAAAAAAAAAAAAACGAAAACAAAAAAAACAAACAAAAAAACCCCCAAAAAACAACGAAAATAGGTTTTAATTGCTAATCGATATTTCTTTCCCAATAAGTTCATGTGGAACTCATTTTCATAATTTCTGAAATTTTCTTCAGGCTTCGAAACGAGGTAATTCAATTGACTAACAAACAAAAAAATGAATAAACTTCAAATAAATCGCTAAGATTTCCTGCTACAAAAGATGGCGGCAAATTTTGCATCAATCTAATAAGATTTCGTAAATTTTCTACAAATACAATATATTAATAAATTTCCAAATCTTATTAATACGAATAAGCCCATTTTCGCGACTATCTTCAAGCTCGATCTTTATTTGATGATCGGAAAAATGGTGTCAAAATTGGTTTTATAAAATGGATCGCCCCATTGACAAGTTCTTCACCGCTTAAAGAAGAATAGGAATCAATACTTTGCTTCAAAAATATATCCGCCATTTTGAATAAACTATTTGTTTATCGATTTGTCCCTTTTGCCTCAAAAGATAAATGCTCAGCTTGGTCGACTGTTGACTGCAATATTACACATATGAATATACGTCTTCGCGCATACAAAGGCATATGTATACGAATATGTGTATGCACACACTAGCACACTTTGCAAAATATGGGCTTTTATAAGAAAATTAAAATAAAATAGAAGCTTTTGAAAGGACCCAATATCATAGCGAGAGATATTCTACGTGATAATCTAGAATTTTCGAACGCAGGATTTTTTTATAGGTTTAGAAATATATAACACGCAAAAGCTTGTGAATTATTAAGTCGATGCAAATATTTCCATTAATTCCACAATATTCAGATAAATTCAGAGCATCATTATTCAATTATCAAATTTATTTTTCCGGCTTTCTATGGCCTAGGTTCTAATAACTGGATGGGAGTTAGATATTTCTTGCGAATCCTTAGTTTAGGCAGGGATCGAAATAAATTGGTACCACTAGAGCTTTCAATTTTAACACATAAATCGATGGGGTTAATATGAAATATAAAAACTTTGCAAGAGTTTTCTTCTTGTTCTTGTTCTTGTTCTTGTTCTTGTTCTTCTTCTTCTTCTTCTTCTTTGTGCAGTGTGACTTCACTACGTTGGTGATCATGGCTCACCGCAAATTCCTGTCCTTTGTAGCTCTTAATAAATTTTTCTTTTGTTATCTCTCCTAAGTCTTGTTCCGCCATCCATTTGCTCACTCGCTAGCTAGGTTATGCATTGTTTTCCTCTGATCCTTTTGCTTTTAATCTTTTCCAATGCTTCTTTCCTCATTATGCATCGTATAAATTACAACTCTCATCCTGGTATTAAGTATAAGTGTCCTTTTTATTTCCATTTTCGTTGCTCACATGATCCTTCAATGGTACTCTTAGCATCCTTTTGTAGAACCATGTTTCTGTTGCTCCAAGTATCTCCTTCACATGGAATTCACTACCATATAGGCGGACTGATATTGCATAACAGTTCAGTACTCTTTTATTTGTTTCTAACAAAAGTTTTCTGTTTTTTAATACTTTGCTTAGCTTTTGGAAGGCATCTTTCGCTATTACATAGTACCTTCGGATTTCATTGTCGCAATTTTGGTCTTCTGTTTAAACACTTCCCAGATATTAAAATTGTTGCACTTGTTTTAATTTTGGTATCTTCAATTTTTATGTCGGGATGTCCTTTTTACCAACAACCACGTATTCTGTCTTCTTGCAATTGATATTTAGTCATTTGGACTTGTTTCTACACATTGTGTGTCCAGAAAAGAAAACACTTGTTCGAACACAAGAAAAATTAACCAAAAAGCTTAATCGCAGTCCTCTTTTATTAAACATATATATATATATATATATATAAATATATATTTAAGCAATAATAAATATATGTAGATATATTAAGTATATATATTTAAGTATTGATGCTATATATATATATATATATATATATATATATATATATATATATATGTATATACAGGTTGGGATGGATAAATTGTCATCTAAATTAAACAAAAATGAAAATAACACTGGCATCTGATTTTAATAGAAATATTTAGAAGAATTGCACAAACGTATCTTGAAATATTAAAGAGTAAATTATTTAATATTATTGAATAAAATCGCCATTGGCTTCATGCATTGCCTCCAGACGACACCGGAATCTCCTGCATCTCTTCTGGACGGTGTCTTTGTTTAAGTTTGGAATGCTGCCATAATCCTTGTCTTCAGTTCATCTTTGGTGTTACAAGGAGTTTTGTTGGTCTCTCACTCAACTACAACCCACACGTAATCATCAAGGAGGTTACAATAGTCTGATGTAAAGGGTGATGAGGTCGCAGATATTGTCTGACTGCCAACTTGGTTGTTCTCCTGCTTGTGTGCTATCCTGCAGAGTCCTTTTGCCACACATGGTATGTTCCAGAAGCCATACTCTTGACATAGGGTGGCACTAAAGGCACTAGATGTAGGCCTCCATTTTTTGTCTGAAACCCTATAGGAAGTTGAATGGAGGCATAACTTCGCCATCGCTAGTGATCACTCCATACGCCATGATGTTGACTGGATATATCATCCAACTCTTTCCGAATTCTCTGCACTGTTCTCAGATTGACACCCAAACATTCGGAAATGTTTGTATTGGAGCTTCCGGTGCGTATACCAAGCAGTACAGAATACCGTTTCCAAAGATTAAAAGAATCTGAGAAAAAAAATCATTAAGGATAGAGGAGAATAAAAGAACAGGATTGAGAGGGACAGAAGATGACATTGCATTTGATTTTTTAAAAGTTAAAAGTTGAGTGGAAAGTCTGAACCTGCCGAAACAAGAAAAAGACTGTTAGTATAGAACTTAGGGATGTAAAATGATGAGACCTAACTGCCAATCTAACACTGTCGGGCTACCAAAGAAAAAGGCTAATCAGACAGTTACGATGAATATATTTTTTAGAAAAGACACAAGGAAGCTAAACGAGTTGCCAGGTTAGGACTGATAACAATACTGAGTCTTTGGATTTTGTCAAGAATCTTTGGATGCATAGCAGAAGCACCATAATAAATAATCTTCATGTATATTTTTCTATTTATAATATGCATATTTATAATTTTTGGAACAGTTTATTTCCAATTCGTTTTATTAAAAAACAAATTTTGGCTTGCATAATTGAGATTAGTCAATCAATTGTTAAGTCTTGTAGGAAAGTCGGTTCACGATGCCGTGCAAGACAAATTTTCTCACCAGAACCTATCTGGCACATTATATATTTCTTTTCGTCTGTGCATCGAATATTGCTGCCTCATCTGGTTTGATGAGCTTTCCTCTTTGGTACGTCGACTTCAAGAATCTAAGCGCAGTCTTAGACTGGCAACTATATCTGATAATATCACAGTTGAATAGGCTAAATGCAATCCTAAGTTTTATTCTAATAGTTCCTTCTTCAGTGCTTTTCGAATGTGGGAAACACTTTTGGCTTCCTGCTTTTCCGTCAACTACGACTTTCAAAAAATTAAATGCAATGTCAATCGTCATCTTCTGTCTCCTTGAACCCTGTTTTTTATTGTCCTTTTTTTTTCTCATTCAGTAACTCCTTGCTTTCATTGCCTTGCTTGGGGCGAAAAAAAAAAAAATAACAACAGCAAAAAACAAAAACAAATAAATAACGAATATGTTTAACCTATGGAACACCAGAGTAATATAATTATATACCTTCGTTTCATTCTTACCCGACAACAAAGATTGGTCAATTGACTTTATTAGCTTAGACTGCTGAAAAGTGTCCAGGTTTTATTTTCCTTACATTTTAACGTTTTTTTTTTTTTAATTTCGCGTTAGAACTGATTGGATTGGACGGATTTTATTTAAGGAAGACAATTTCTAATTATAATGTGAAGACAACTTTAATAACAGAGGAAATTAAATTGTTAAATAAAAGCCTCATAAACTTGCTCAATTTCCACTTTCTGTTTCATTAAAAAATTCTTAGCAATATATTTTTGGCAGTGAGCAGTAAACAGGGTATGTTTGACAAAAGAGAAAATACATAGGGTTTATTTTCGAAACTGATCAAACCTATCGATTTATTGCTTAGTGTCAGTTGCAGCCATCTTGTTTGCTTCTCGATGTTTATTGACCGCCATAACAAAACCTGCTGGACTTAATTATAACCAAGATTAATTTGTTTACCGGAATTGATGGAGACGTGTTCCTTTATTTCATTCGTTTTTTTTATATTTTATTTGTGTTGGCAATGACGTCATTTGTATAGCGTTGTTTTTTTAATTAATGTTAACTATTTTTTGTACTGAGCTGATTTTCTCAAGAAATAAATAAATAGAAATAGTGACAAATATTTTTTAATTAGCTCATAGTTAATGTTGCGTGTATAATCAGTTAATTAACTAAGGAGGAATTGATTAACCTTTACCTGTCAATATCTATCTATCTATCTATCTATCTATCTATCTATCTATCTATCTATCTATCTCATTCTTTCATATCTATCTATCTATCTATCTATCTATCTATCTATCTATCTTGTCTATCCTGTCTGTCTGTCTATCTATCTATCTATCTATCTATCTATCTATTTATTTCTGTTCTAAAGGCTTTTTATTCTATTTCACTCCAAGTAGTTCCTTTCGCCTTAGTGGCATTATCACCTTGCTTGGGTTGAATTGACTGAAAACAAACAAGCAAAAAACAACAACAAAAACTGCTTGGTTGTTGCGATAAAAAGCAACAGAAATACGATATACCAGTCAAAGATTAATTATAGATGTGCTTAGTACATTAGCATTAATTTGATTTATCTTATGGTTCAGTATGATTAAATAGTTCTGTCTATTTTTGCCCCAGTCATTGTTGTATTGGTTAATATGGTTTCCCATGGGAAAAGCTAAGCAATTTTTTAATTTTAAATTCTGATTCACTGTTGAGAACTAAACATAACACTTCAACAGACACGCCACTTTATGGTACTCCGAAATCCAAACACGATTTGCCATAGCGAAAGATACCTTCCAAAAGCTAAGAAAAGTATTAAGAAACTGGAAAATCTTCGTTAGAAACCAAGAAAAGAGTGATGAACTCTTATGCAACATCAATCCTTCTCTATGGTAGTGAACGTTGGATAATTTCCTCACAATTGTAGAGGAGACAGAAATGAGGCTCTGCAGAAGGATGCTGAGAATAGCACGGACGGAACATGGAAGCAAAAAGGAAAGTTTTGAGGAAAATGGTAACAAGACGGACATTTGAGAATCAGAAAGCGGCAGTTGATATTTTTGCCACGCAGCGGGATAAGAGAATTTGATACTCATCGAACGTATTGAAGATAAGAGAGGGTGAGAGAAAAACATCGAGTCGCATATTTAAGGAACTTGTGTAAATAATGGATGACAAAACAAGATCTTGGAGTAAGCAGACAAACATTACATAGAGCGACAAAGGATAGGAAGTTGTGGAGAGTCATGATCGCCAATGTCCTAAAGAGACAAGAGGCAGAGAAGAAGACTATCTGTATTTGTCAATTTAAGGACTAGATACCATGATTGAATCAGCAGAAACGAACTTATATTTAACTTACTTTTGACCGAACCGTTGTTCCATCACTTGACCAGGGGGTACACATTCAAGTATCCTTTCTTTTGGAGAATACATTTATTAACGAGATGAAAAGCTTGAATATAATTGTCCCACATTTCGTAACCTCTTGTTTAATGATCTAATTCCCTGAAGGATAACTGCAGTTGCAATTAAATTCAAAAGGATTTCACTTTCTGTAGATATGAACGTGCTGGACAATCGAAAGTTTATTCCGAGTCAACGACTTCTGAAACACTGCCAAAGAAGACACCCGTAAATTTAGTTCGCATGATTTAGCAGTATGGCCATTATCGTAATTTCTATTGAAACCGGCGACTGAACTCTAGACCTTAACTTTTCTAATCGAGGATTTTATCAAAACTAAATCTCTAGATTATTATTCTGTTCGATGGCTCTCTCAGGGTAGAGCAGTCGACCGGCTGTCGAGAGTCTCATTTTCTTATGTCGAGAGCGCAGGTCAGTAAAATTTTGAACTTAATGAGAACGTTACTAGTATTAATCTTAGTAAAAAGTATCATTTCTCATCAGCTTTTAGCATACTTTAGTATGGCACAATTCAGTAGCAAGGATCTAGAGAAATGAAATTCTTAACTATTGTTCTACAGCAAAGGATCGTAGAATGACAGCCTCGTTCCAGCGATAAAAAACAAAAGAAATTCGATATACTAGATAATTATGAACGCCGGACAGTCTCCTCAGACATGAAGAAGAGACATGAAGAAACACAAATGTGGTTCTACAGAAAGATGCAGAGAATATCATGGACCGAACATTTTGGTTGATTGGTTGATTTTGTTTAGCCGCATATCAACATCTATGGATAACTAATGATAAAATATATTAAGAGCTACAAAGGACAGGAAGTTGTGGAGAGCCATGATCATCTACGTTCTGAACAAACACGACACATAGAAGAATTCAAGATTTAATAATAGAAGTTATACTTAGTACATAGCACCAAAAATTATCTTAGAATTTAGTATGATTAAAGGGCCCAGTATAGTCTTGCCTCGGCCATTGTTGTCTAGCCGTATTGTTTATTCCAGTTTCCCATATCTTCCCATGTGAACAGACGTTTAAATGTTAATTTTAATGCGACACAATGGATCCTCGATAGGTTGGCTCAGGATACAAACGTAGTTATCTCGGCCTGAAGCCCCAGACTACTAGCAGTAAAAATCGATATGAGGTAGCTTCAAAGCAACCACCGGCTATCCAAAGGTAGGAAAAACGAAATAAATAAATTAAAAATTCTTGGATAAAATGCCACTCAACCGGAAGTTACGGAATTCTGACCGTGAGCTTGCATAGTCAGACCGCATTCTAGATAGCAGGTAGACTCACGGTTAGATTAAGCGGAAGGGCAAACAGTCCACCGTGACTTAGAGGTAAGCAGAGGTAGGTAGGAAAGAGTTGGCGGTCTGGGGCAAGTCATGAGCCGTCTATTGAGATGTAGACTGTCGCAGTCAGAGATGCACTGAGGCGGAGGTCATAAGCCGTCTATTGAGATGTAGACTGTTGCAGTCAGAGATGCACTGAGACGGAGATTTGGTCCGTTAGTTTGCCGTGAGAGAAGACAGAAGTAGCCGCGAAGATATCCCCAGTGTCACTACTCGTTGGGTGAATCCATGAATGAAGAGCCCTCGTATATTGAAAACAGGATTCGTACTTTCTTTTCTCGTCGTAGTGATATTTCCTCTACTCATTCTTTTGTTGAACGTACACTGAGCCTTTCCAACTTTTTGTTTACATCAAAGGAGACGGGATTCGGAATACATCGTGAGGTGAAGCTGATCAGTCAGTGAAAGGAACGCAGTTGTATGTTTACATTAATAAAAAGAATCATATCGAATTAGCTTTATCCAATATAGGTAATTAATTAAGCATATTTTGGTGAGCTACAAACACTGGATACTTAGTGGGGATTAAATTTAAGAACAACGATCGAGCGAGATAGCAGAGGCTCAAGAATGGAGATTTTTGCATCGCCAGATCTGGGATAACCAGTGAGTATTTAGATGATATCAATAGTCTAGAATGCCAGCCGTAGCCCTACGCTATATTACAAAGCTTACTTTAGTTTGGCACAAGGTAGCGATAAGCGACCTCCTAGTAAGAACTGAAATAGCCGGAAATAGATGAAATGATTGGCATGCTAACCTCTCCCCTGCGGCAGTCGCCTATATAGACACTAGTTTTTAAATTTATTTTGACACGTTGTCAAACTAGCAGGACACTCAGTGAGGATCGAACTCATGAGACGAATCTCGTATGTATAAAACCCAACATCATTATACAATAAACCACTCCTCCACTGGTGTTAACGCAACGTAACGTAGTGGTCATCTGCACGGGAAGTGTGATTGGCGTCCTGAGTTCAAAATCTAACCGAAGACGTTAGATTCGCTTTTGCACAAACACCTTTGGAAATGTATGGATTCATCTCGTCCAACCACAGCTACGGATTAATAGCAAGAGAGACAATCGCCCAATCCCAACTATAAATTAACAACAGGACAGACAATCGCCCAATCCCAACTATGAATTAAGAGCAGGACAGACAATCGCCCAATCCCAGCTATGAATTAACAACAGGACAGACCATCGCCCAATCCCAGCTATGAATTAACAGCAGGACAGACAATCGCCCAATCCCAGCTATAAATTAACAGCAGGGCAAATTTCTCTAGCCTTGGGTAGTAATTCGTCTGGGAGAAAGAAAACGCTGAAATCAAAATCAACGCGAAGAGGGATGGGATCCGTCAGGTTAACATTCCCTAGACCTACTCTCTGCTGCTATAGTTGCATGAGATGACCCTATGACCCTTATGAGTTACGGTACTTGTAACTCATAATAATACGACATCGACACCTCCTCGTGAGATTTGATTTGCAAAATAATCTCTCATTTCATTATTCTTTTGTTGAGTTCTACTCTCAGATCTTCTTTAACGCACCGTACCCTTACAGCACACAGGCGATGATAGCTCTCCATAACATCTTAGTAGCTCTGTAATAATTCTCTTTCTCTGTCCGTTTACACAAACTCGCTAAGTAGGTTACTCACTCCATCCCTCTGTTTCTCTTGCATTCAATATGTCCTGTGAGTGTCAAATTCTACTTGCCATCTGATCATGGCTCTTCACAGTTTCCTATCCCTTTTGGTACTGAGTAATGTTTATCAATCCCTGTCCCTTTTCTATCTATTTACACAAGCTCGTTTATTCATTGCTTCCTTCTGTTACTCTTGCCTTCAATGTATTTTGTGTGTCAAATTCCCCAAGCGCTCTCTTCCACTTGCCACCTGATCATGGCTCTCCACAATTTCCTACGTATTTTGGCTCTACCCTTTTTAAGTAATGTTTATCTCTCACTGTACTTCTGCAATCCATTTACCCAAACTCGTTAAGTAGGTAACTCATTGTTTCTCTGTTTCTCTTGCTTTCAATATATTTCTTCAGTATCAAATTCTCCAAACTTTCTGCTCCTCTTGCAATACTGGGAGTCCAGTCTCTCTGGGTCAAATTCGCTCCGCACTAAGATTAGTAAATATATTACAATGGGCCAGAATTAATATCAGGAATTCGACCTTTATTAGATGCTCTAGATACATAACCTTGTGCCATGCTAGGATGACCTAAGTAAATATTGAATTAAAATAATTAACAATAAGCATATGCGTTTTTTCCTAAATCTGATTGGACATTAATGCACTTGAATAAGAAGTGATAAAGTTGTTGATTCCCTGGCACGCCAATCTCGGAAAATATAGAATATTTTTCCCGTCTGGAATCTTTATATTCTTTCTCAGCTCTGTATCTCAAACGAGACCATTACTCTGAAACTTTTACTGTTGTTTTTACTTAGAAACAGCGCGCCGGGGTCATTTGGAATGATCTGAGCTGGTGAATGAAACGCTAATTACGTCTGAGTTGCTATATTATCTGCTAATTGGGTGTTACTTATAGCCAGACTCGCTTATTGATGCGTGCGTCTTATTGTCGGTCGTTTATTTCATCCATAATAAAATATTTCCATATAAAAGGTGGGGGATTTGCTAAAAGGTTACAGACAGACCTTTACACTGAGCTTCAGAAGTGAAAAGATCGTTTTTGTTATCGTAGAAGATTGAAAACAGAGTGTAATTTTTTTCTTTAATAAAAAATTTTTGATTCTAGATTTGGGAGGGTTATATATACCGATTGACAGATAGAGATAGGCGGAAAACAGGGTTTGGCGTGATGGGTTTTTACGCAAGCTCCAGGGCTACGGTGTTACGGGACGAATATTTGATTTAATCCAATCGTTCCTATCAAATCCTGAAATGAAGGTCGTTTTGAAAAGGCTCGCTTTCGAATCTTTTTACACGATGGCTCTAATCTAGGTTCTACAATTTTTCTGATCTTCATCAATGATCTCTCCAATGTCATGAGTTCCCAATTAGATATTTATGCAGATGACACCATTACTCCTGTCTCAATACCAAATCCATAAGATCTGACAAAGTAAATCTGGCAGCTGCACTTGAAAAGAACCTCCAATCTAGGGCAAGAAATGGTTTGTGAATTTTAATGCCTCCAAAACTAAACTGCTTTCATTTCTAAACCATAGAGAACATTTTCTGCCCGCTATCAGCATGGCTGAAGCTAGGTTCCAGGAGAGCAACACCCTACGCCTTCTTGGTCCACGTTTTCCATTGACTTAAAGTGGATTTGCTATATTGAATCAATATCTGCATCTACCGGACCTGTCTGTCTGTCTGTCCGTCTATCGTCAGGCCGCCTAAAAATTACTGCGTTTAGCATGAAACAGACTGTCGCCTCTTGAGTGCTGACTTCAATGTTCACTTATATATATATATATATATATATATATATATATATATAGACTTGCCTGAAGTGAAATGATTAATATATATATGTGTATCTTACTCATTTCAATAATGATTAATATACATTTATATATTTCATTGTGGATTAATATACACACACACAAACACACACACACACTCACTCACACACACACGCACACATATATATATATATTAATCATTTCATTTCAAGCAAGGCGATAAAGCCTCTTAGAGTGAAGGAAACCGTGACAAGGTTATTGAAGTGAAAGTACAATAAAAGTACAGGGTTCAAAGAGGCCGAAGACGGCGTATTTACGTTGCATATCAACAGCCAGGTTGGGTGGCTGATATTAGATTTTGTACATGAGTAAAGAAAATAGTATCAAATAAGTTTCTACCTTGTAAACAGACGTCGGGTCGGTTGCACTGGCTACCGGGTAAAATGGTTCCTCTTTAATGGAGTTGAAACTCCTCTCTTCTGCCAGCTTGATTAAGAAATGTCACAAATCCGAGCACCCAGACCACATTCGTGCCAGAGTAACATATTTTAGTTGTAACTAATTAGAGGGAAATAATTTTACCATATACACAAACCAGAATCTAT